AATGAATGAAGTACACGACACACAGCAGGCAGGCACTTAATGAGATTTGAGTTTCTGTATGAAGCACAGCAGTACAAGTGCAAAAGTCAAGCAGTCCCTGTAAGCGCCATATATGCTATATTATCTAACACACATTTTACATACATATAAAACTTCTCTGTAATTTCCATCCTTCCTAACCCTGTAACATAACACCTGGCATTTATGGTCGGCACCCTAGTGAAATCATCACCCTTTCCCAGGGGACCAGTGAGGTCTCATCACCACAGCTGCCAGCCTCTCTGTGGCCTCTTTGGCCACTGACACTCTGACCCTCTGCTTCCTGCTCATCTCCCTCTCGAAAAGGTCCCCATCATGGGGTTCCCATGTTCTTTCTCTTTAATGGCCCCTTCTAGGCTGGCTGGCTCTTTTTCCCTTTGCCTCAGTGAAGTATGGTATAGTGCAAAGAGAGGAACTCAGATTCTAAGGTTGAACCACCTATTATCAACTGTGTGATCTAAGGCACACCCTTCCCTTCCAGGTCTCACCTATGAAGTCAGAGATAGTCAAAGTGCCTACACCCAACTCAGGGCTGTTGGGCGGATGAGGTGAAATGACACCCATTGGGTGCTGCGCCATATGCCTGGCAGACCGAGCACCCGACGTCTGCTGTGAGACACGCTGTATATGAGCATCCTCAAGGGAAGAAAAGACTGGAAAAGAATATAGTGGTGACAAAGTACTTGTGTTAAAGTGGTAAAATTACAGGTGACTTTTTTTCCTCTGGTCTCCCAGTTTTTTTTGTTTTGTTTTTTAAGATTTTATTTATTTATTTGACAGAAAGAGAGATCACAAGTAGGCAGAGAGGCAGGCAGAGAGAGAGAGAGAGAGAGAGAGGAGGAAACAGGTTCCCTGCTGAGCAGAGAGCCTGACGCGGGGCTCAATCCCAGGACCCTGAGATCATGACCTGAGCCGCAGGCAGAGGCTTTAACCCACTGAGCCACCCAGGCGCCCCCGGCCCCCCAGTTTTTAAAAATGAAACGAGGCTGTGAGATCACACAGACACATGAACAGAGAGGAAGAAGAGAGGAGGAAAGAAAGTAAAGTAGCAGAGGCGGAGAAAATGCACCTCAGAGTTCATGATTACAAGTCACCCAAAGGCTGAAAAGAAAAACAAAAGGGCAGAAAAACAGAAACTACCCCCAAAATCCCTAACTCTTCCTCTGCTTGGAGTCCCACTTCCCAAAAAGGAACAGACTGCAAAAGATGGCTATGGTTTTCAGGAGAAAAAGCAAGTGTCCAGGAAAAGCAACAATTGTAATGTCTGAAGTATATACATGCTAGTGAAACCACACTCCATGTGGGAGAAAAACATAATCCCACTCAGAGACACAGAATGCCAGAAGCACTATGCAGTCTGAGGCACAGCTAAAGTAAGGACATTTGTTTAAGTCCTTCCCTTTCACTGAAAATTGCTAAAACAAGACCTTTGATATCTGTCCTCCTAAAAGCTATGTCCTCTCCCCCTCAGATGTATTCTTTGGCTAACAATGCTGAAGAATGCTCTCTGGCTGCAGGGTCATGAGACATGAGAGGATGTATATGCTGGGGCTGCCAGAGAAAGGTTTCCTCCTTTGTAAAGGGCACAACTGAGAAGAAATTCCCCTTCCTGCTTTTGGATACAATGGGAAGAGAGAGGATGTGATGCTTAAGACTAGCAATGGCAGCCATCTTGGCCCCATGAGTTAGACTTGAGGATGAGAAGGAAGAGAGAAGGGACCTAAGCTCTTAGTAATCATTACCCAACTAGGAATTTGTTACCCCTGGCCTTCTCATGTGGGTTAATGAACATCCTTTATGCCTAAGCCACTACTAATTGGGTACTTGTTACTTTTAGGCAAAAGCATCTTAAAATTATTCACAAAGCATTTGGTGAGCTGTTGTGTTAAGAGGGATATCTAAATGAAAACACCCATAGCCAGGAATCAGAAATGGCATGGCTACAGCTCTGTCTTAATAGATGCCAATCCAAATGACAAGTATAAAATAAGCAAAAGGTGAATCACCTTTTTCCTCCAGCTTTTAGCTCCTTTCCCACCCTCCCCCAACAAAGTGAGAAAAGAGACTAAAATGCTCAGTTCCTAATTCACACTCATAATACACTTGGTCAGGTTTTCCAAGTAGAATCCTCACACCAAATTTCTATGAATTAGGTCAATATTTTACCTAGAGGATATTTACTTCCACCTCCCAAAGTACAAAAGTATCAGAATATAACAGAAATTCCATGTAGGGGCGCCCAGGTGGCTCAGTGGGTTAAGCCTCTGCCTTTGGCTCAGGTGATCTCAGGGTCCTGGGATCGAGCCCCACATTAGGCTCTCTGCTCAGCGGGGAGCCAGCTTCTCCCCCTCTCTCTGCCTGCTGCCCTACCTGCTTGTGATCTCTCTGTCGAATACATAAATAAATTTTTTTTTAAAAATTTCATGTAAAAAAGTATATAAAATCAGAAAGGTTGTCCTACAGCAGCATTAAAAAAATATTTGAATTCAATATTAAAATGAAAACTACTCCTGTAATCTCAGTTTTAGAAAGGATAAGAATTCTTCAGCATCCCTTTCAGTTCCTTCCTAAGCAAAATTTTTAACTGAAAATTTTAAAACTAGGATTTGTTGGGGATGGGGGGGCAGACACAAAGGTTTTTCAGAGACAATACTCTTCAGGAATGAAAATTTTGAATTGATTAGTGATCTTCACAATGAAATGACCCTTCAGTCTTATCAGATGGGATTTACAATGTTTCATAATAAAGTTATGAATATCAACACCAAAAGTCAATAATTAGACAATAAAACCTTCTTGAAAAATGAGAGAAACAGAATCTACCTTAGGTCTCTTTCATCTATGAAATCTGATTAGTCTTTCATACACGGAATTTAAACAGACATACAGTAGTATTTTAGCCTACAGTTTAAACAAAATAAAAAACCAGGCACGGGAAAACAAATTAAACACTGGGCCTCCAGAAGCAAAGCTTGCTAGGGCAGCACTTTATTGTAAAATTGCTGCAGGTGAGCAGAAAATTACTAACTAGACTACATGGTGACTATAAGCAAAAAGACAACTTGAAACAAAAATAAAACACAGAAGTTATTTCCACTCCCTCCAAACAGAACGCATATCCACATGAAAGAAATTTTGTCACTGCAACATAGTTTCCTCGTTGAAACTGAAGTTTTCAGCCTGTGTTTGCAACAGCATGGTTGCTGTGGAAATAGCTGATTCAACATTATGAATTCACAGCTGAAAAAAGGTGTGAAACAGAAATCTTAAACAGTGGCAAGAACCATAAAACATTAAAAAGGCACACTGATGGGGCGCCTGGGTGGCTCAGTGGGTTAAAGCCTTTGCCTTTGGCTTGGGTCATGGTCCCAGGGTCCTGGGATCGAGCCCCACATCGGGCTCTCTGATCAGCCGGGAGCCTGCTTCCTCCTCTCTCTCTCTGCCTGCCTCTCTGCCTACTTGTGATCTCTGTCTGTCAAATAAATAAATAAAATCTTAAAAAAAAAAAGGCACACTGAGTGACGGTGAATCAGAGCACCATATGGTTTAATGTAGGGGTCATACATTTTCCCATGGCCCCTGACACAAATAGGATGTTTCTTTTCAATTTAATCCTATTTTTGGAAACCTCTAATCGTCTCCAGCATCCCAGTAAGTTTTACTACCTGCTTCTGTCTACACAAAGCAGTGTGTATTTTATTAAAAGGGCTCTGATGAGGACAGAGTTTCTAGAGTCCATACCTTGCCAGAACATGCACAAGTGATGGCACCAAAAGAACACGAGTCAGAAAGAAAAATTTCTGCATGTAACTATTCTAGTCTATTAAATAGAGAAGTGTGGACTTATTCATCCCATGACATCACTTCAGACTTAGGGTTCAAGACTCTTTACAAACTCTTCAAGAACCGAAGTTGTCAAAGAATGTTCCTGACCCCCAGTTCCACTTCACATCCTGCAGCCCAGCCCCCAACCCCAACCCTGTTATCACACCTTCAATCTGTTCCTCCACTTTTACGGGCCAGGTAAGAGCTCTCCAAGCAATCTTGAAAACCCTTAAGGCACTTTACATAGAAATGATGTGAATTATCTGAATCCTAAATGTATATGTGCCCTACAACCCCCACCCCTACCCCCAGCTTCCCTTTCTGCTTTTTTATTGGAGAAACACTTTTCTTTACATACACACACTTTATCAATATTTTCCTCTGGTTCTGAACATTTCAAATTATGGCAAACATTTTGAAGCCAGAAATCTTACCTCTTGTAAAATAAAACATATTCATTTAAAATAAAACATTCATTCTTTATTTAAGATTTAAAAATGATGGTTAGGTGTGGGGCTATTAGAAAAGGAAAAACAGCGACTTTTCCACCTTTAGGAGAGGGCACAGTGAACGGACTCTGTAAACAGAAACCGAGATTCCCTTGGTGGCTGGAGGTGCTAAGGGTATGGCAGCCCTCCGAGTGTGCACGGGAGATTAATTCACACCAGCAAAACCGGCAAAATCACAACTGAGAGCAACTGTGGAAGCAGTGAGAGCCAAAAGCAGGATGTAAAGGAGTCTGACTTTGTGCTAGGTGAGTCGCTGGAAACACTCCTGCCACAGTCAGGAGGCCTACCATGCCCATCTCCTTAAGAATGTAGTTCAAAGCTCCCTGGGCTTCATGCTCTAGGGATCCGAGGGGAAGGGCTAGGGCCCTAAGTCTAGAGGCAGATGCCCAATTCCTAGGGAACAGGGAAGCCAGCCGCTGGCCTTGGCCTGCCCTCTAACTAAGCCTCCACTTTCGACAGACCAGCAAACTCAATCATCCTAGAAGTGAACACACTGGAGTACTGGGCTAGCTCTTCTTACTATTCTGGATTTGGGCCACTTCGTATGTTCTTACAAGGGCTCACAGGAGGAAAGGTCCTGGAACCAGCTTAACTTGTGTTTGTATATAATGGATGGTCAGCTCATCCAGCTCTGTCGACACAGGGGACCCGGTGGAAATCTCACCAATCTTGGCCACTCCATCATAGTAGGCTTTTCCCGCAAGGATCATAGCTAGACAAAGAAGGTAACACAAAAAAATCATCACTTAGACAAAGGAAAGAGGCAGTGCCGTGGAGGTTTGGTTCCAAATACCTCTCAGTTCCTCCAGGCTGCAGAAAGGTTTGGGCTGTGCCAAGGATGGCTTTCAGAAGGCAGGACTGGTGCTTAATAGCTGTGCCAGGGGCAGAGGTCCCTCCATTGCACTTCCAGAGGCCCCCACTCAGTGGAAAACCCTATAGGATCCTCACCTTAGACCAGACCTGGGGAACCTTAACAGCAGGCTCTGGAAGTCCAGAAAAGATCCTGCCTTCATCACGATGCCAGTTCCAGAGTGGATGTGTTTTCAACATCAAATTAGGGCTGCAAACACATCCACTCCAGCAAGAAATCTTTCCTCAGCTAGTTATTCTACAGCTCTACAGGTCTGCAACATTATTAGTTAGAAGAACATTTGTATGGGATGCCCCAGGAACCTGGTCTTTCAATGGCTTTTATCTGGGTGGCTCGGTCATTAAGCCTCTGCCTTCGGCTCACGTCATGATCCCAGGGTCCTGGGATCGAGCCCCATATCAGGCTCCTTGCTCACTGGGGAGCCTGCTTCTCCCCTGCCTGCCATTCCCCCTACTTGTGCTTGCTCTCTGTCTCTGTGTCTCTCTCCCTCTCTCGTGCTTGTTCTGTGTCAAATAAATAAATAAAATCTCAAAAAATAAAAAATAAAAAATAAAAAAATAAAGAAAGAAAAAGGTATTCTGAGCCACAACCAATAATACATTTGTTGTCAGGGAAAAAAATCTATGATATTTGAAATACATTATCATTCTAGAAACAACAGAATAACCTGAAAAGTAACTGAAGGTTCTATCCTCCCCCCACCACCTTTTTGTCAGAGACAAGGGAAACTTTCACTGCTGTAGAAACCGGATTCTAATCATCTTAAAATAGTATCTCTCCTTTCAAATTGATTCTGATGACTAAATTTTAAGGTACAAAAATCTGTTTTTGATTTTTCTTTTCCTTTTCTTTTGCTTTGGGGAGGGGAATTGGGGCAAGAGAGACCTGGGCTTGAATTCTACCTTACTTATAAAGGTAGCTATCCTTTCTGAAACAAAGGACGGTCATCAAGAAAATGTCTTAATAGCATGAGCACTGAACAAACAAATGAAAGTTATTAATACGGATTCCTTCTTTCACTTTACAACAACCAGGCTTTTCAATAAGACCTAGCCTATTTAGAGTGATTTTGAAGAGAATTTACTTCAAAGACTAACTTTGAAGAAAACAGAATTTTGGAGCTAAAAGAGCCCTTAGGAATCTCTAAGATTCCTTTCCTTTTACTGTGAAGAAAACCAGAGGCCATTCCAATGGCTTTGCCCCAATTTTATAATGGGTATTGTTTTAAAATGGTGAATTAAAAAGGCATTTCAAGTCTAAAAGCGGGAGTTACAGAACAAATTATGTACAAGTCCAGCTGAAGATATTACTAGCCAAAAAAGTAGTATTTTCATGGTAAATTCATCCATTTTAGCATTTCTTGTTGAGTTAAAAAGTTATAAAAGTTATATTTTTTACTCTATGTGTACAAGTTTAACAACTGTAATGCTCTATTATACAGTTATTTCATAAGTTTGAGAATAACCTTAAAGTATAATTGCAAAAAAAGAATAACAAGTAGCATTTATGTGGACTTTCCATGCCATTACCTAAGTTCATCTACCCAAGAATATGAAGATGTTGGTCAGAGGTATTATCACCCTGTTTCATGAAGGAGAGTGGAATGGAAATATGCTGGGACATGCCCAAGGTCAGTGGCAAATCAGAGGGAGTGCATTAAATTCCAGCTAAGATAACCTCAGTTCTAAATTATAGTGCTTTCTGACTCTCTGATCTCAGCTAGAATGGAAAAAGAGAGGACTCCACCTAAAAACAAGGTTGGTATCCAATAAACTGTCAAGCTAATACATGCAATATTTTAGAATGAAGATTTTATATTTTAAGATACAGATAAAGCTGAAAAGCAGTGGAAGAATGGCATGAAGGTTTACACAACAAAGAAACAAAATTTTTGGTTTGCATTCACACGTTATTTTGAAATTTTTCATTAACTGATGACTTATGTTTAAAACTAACTTCAGAATGGCAGAGGGCGCCCGGGTGGCTCAGTGGGTTAAACCTCTGCCTTTGGCTCAGGTCATGATCCCTGGGTCCTGGGATGGAGCCCCGCATAGGGCTCTCTGCTTGGCAGGGAGCCTGCTTCCTCCTCTCTCTCTGCCTGCCTCTCTGCCTACTTATGATCTCTGTCAAATAAATAAATAAAGTCTTTTTTTTTTTTAAGATCTTATTTATTTATTTGACAGACAGAGATCACAAGTAGGCAGAGAGAGAGGGGGAAGCAGGCGTCCCACTGAGCAGAGAGCCCGATGCGGGGCTTGATTCCAGGACACCGGGATCATGACCCCAGCTGAAAGCTGAAAGCCACCCAGGTGCCCCTAAATAAATAAAATCTTAAAAAAACAAACAAACAAACAAACAAACCCCTAACTTCAGAATGGCAAAATATCCTTGCTTTTACATAAAGTAGAGCTAACTTTAAAAAACTATATAATTTATCCAGAACTTAATAAAGAATCAAACAATATTCTCATAATTTTGCCATCCCCACTTTGTGAATAAGAGAGTTTAAGAGATTCTATCACTTATTGTTTTAAGGAAACAAAGCACATTTGTTCTATTTTAGTGGTTGACCAACTAATTTACCAATCTAATCTATATACTTCTACCAGATAATTTTCCCTTAAGATATGATTTCATTAGGCTACAATTCTGCTCAAAAACTTGTAATGGCCTCCACTGCCCAAAGTGTAAGCCCATACGTCATAGAGTTCATGGTAGATTTGTATAGTAATGGTCTTCAATAAACCACACCTCCCAGAATTCCCAACCTTTGTAGTTGCCTATACATCGATGGGTGGCTTGGTCATCTGACTTGCCTTGGCCAATGGGATGCCAGCAAGCCTAACTCCCAAAGAGGTCTGGACTCTTGCAACAGCCTGCTGTGTCCCCAGGAGGGAGGGAGGGAAGGAGCCCAGAGCCCTGGCTGACTGCAGCTGCAGGGTTGAGCCCCTGGGGGCTAGAGAACTGCACTGTCTTTACAGGACCTCGAGAAATAATAAATTATTGTCTTTGGCCACCAAGTTTAGGGATCCTTGATAAGGTGACAATAGGTAATTAACGCTGCATTCAAATGCATTAATAACCTGACCCTACTCCACCTTGTATTTTACTATTCCCCAACAGCTTCCCACCCATGCCAGTGTGGGTCTCAGATCTTGGCTTGGGTGCTGTCTTTTCTGCCTGAAACCTAACATCCGTCAATTAGCACAGCTCCTACAAGGCCCCCCGCCTGCTCCGTTCCCCACCAGCCTTCACGACTCAAATTCCTGTGATGCTGCTCTTTCCATGCTCTTTGTTAGCTTCGCATGTTGTCCTGATTTATGAGCCAAGTGTCAAATGCAATCTGGCATCCTAAACTGTGCTACAAATTCTTACCAAGGACTTTACAAATTCTTCTTGATTTCTCAATGGCTTCAGTCAAACACAGATGGCCTGCAAAAAAACCTGGAAATACTTTAAAAGTTCAGAATAGTCCCTTTAGGGAGAAGCCTTGTTAGCAAGAGACTAAGCTGCTGGCAGGTCATTGAGTCACTTTATAAAACTCTGCCTCAGAGAGGTAGCAAGTGCCAGAAACAAACAAACAAATCACTGGGGGTCATAGTGATTTCCTTCACATGGGCATCTAAGGCAATGACTCTGTGGTCTTGTGACTAAGCAGTCATCAAGGAAGAGTCAGCTGTGCAAGAATTCTAAAACAAGTCTTCTTCCTGCTCTTTGAAGGGGTGAGGGTTACCTACAGAAGTCACTGATACTGCTTGGGAGATGAGGGAGGATTTCCGAGCGCTGCAAATGTCTGGCAAACAGCACAGAGATGCAGAAGAAAGTAAATAAGCACTTTATTTTTCCATGACTATGACAACTGGACACCTGTCATCCAAAGGCTAGCTACCATACCCCCCTTTTCCTGGGGCATGCTTATGCTGAGGGTGTGTAAGTTCATGGGTTTATTCTCAAAATCTCAAGAGGGAGCAGCCAAAGGTGGGCCAAGGTAAAAGGGAGAAACAAGCTATACATAAAAGACAAATAACCTGATCTGAAGTTTTCAAATCTAAAACTGTTAAAAACTAAATTTTCTACTTACATTACTTGGTGGTCTTAGTGTGGTATAGGGTGAAACTGAACATTTTGGGGGTGACCCTTATTACATAAGGAGAATTGTTTTGACTGTGTTAGAATTTGGTGATTTGGCATCTCAAGTTTTTAAGGTGATCATTGATAACATTCACCTTTTAGTAGGGAAATGCATGTATAGGTACAGGTCAGCTTTCTCAAAAAAAAAAAAAGTGTTGAAACTAGTGAACAAGTCTGGTTCACACAGAGAGACAAAAGCAAATGCTTGAATTCATTTTACAGAAAACACTCATCTTGAAATGAGATCTAAGTTCAACCTTTAATTTAAATGTTTTTCCATTCAGACTAAAAATTTGCTCATATCACTATCAAAAGTTATAGACCCAAAGGCAAGAAATTCTTCTTTATAAAGAGAACAATTCCTTTGCTACAAGATACTAACAAATATTTTAAATACACATTTCATATGTTATTAATTCACAAAGAATTTGTTTTGCACAGTGGAAAACATATTGACGGCAATGACATAAAATACTGAGTCACATCAATAACCATGATTTGATCATTAAATGTATCACTTTTAACAGTCTGTGATTCCATTTATTCATTTCAAATACACTAATATCCTATCATTGCAAACTTCCATAGAATTAAATAATTTCAACCAACTTAAAGATCTTTAAAAAATCCACTATTAAGCACATCAAAATAATTAAGTAAAATATTTACTGAATGGTTTTTATATGTCCACTATATTTATAAATTTAGAAAAGAGACTTACCATTAACAGCTTTTTCATAATTTTTTCCTAGGTTTATTAAATTTCGTAGCCCAGGATTGAACTGTTCCATAACATTCTGACAAATAAACAAAACAAACAAACTAATAAAGTAAGCAAACAGTAAATCAAATAATTTTTAGATTTTGTCACTACATAACCTGGGATACCTATGTATGCTTGCCAGTATAGTCTACAAAGCCATGAACACTTATTTCAAATAACAGAGAGCACATACTTCCTTACGGATGGAACAGGGTCCTTGCACCAACAAGGCATGTGTAACCCTACTAGTTTTCTATTGCCCAAGGGCTGCCTAGAACCTACTGTTAAGTGGAGCAAGTGGCAGATACGCATACCTACAAAGTATACCCCACAGGGGCTATGGGGCCAGAAGCTGATGCTCCCTTTGGGGTTTAAGTAGGTTAATGGTTGTCAGGCTAGGGTTAACAACAGGTGCACATGATTGGAACTTAATTATATGAGCAATGTCTTGGTTATCAATTGAACAGAAATTTCTAAGAGCTCTTGTTTATTCACTAAGTACTCATGTAGTGTCGTCAAGTGGTAGGTCCTACGCACACAGTAGATGGGAAGGCATGGTTTCCCTACCATGGATTTCATGATGTCATGGCATGCAAATGTTATGGTTTTCATTTTTAAAAGTGTCACTCCTGTAGCAACAGAAAGTCATAAACACAGAAACAAATGCTATGGTAACTACTGAGACAGGCAATTATTTAGACTGTTGACCTAAATTTAAAATATCCTAAATCGAAGTAGAGACAATAGGTCATTCCTATGGGGCTCTGACTTCTTGACTCAGAACACATGTATCTACAAATATATTCCACCTACGAATAATGAGCTTCACAGTATTAATCATTCCAGACAGACCATTCAAGTCTCCTTACTCTCCCCCTCAAAATGTGAACCCTATTTGTAGAGGACCAAGCAATAAAAAGAATGAAAAATACCCAACATTCAAAGAGGCAGATACTTGATATACATGCTCTGCTGGATAAAAGGTTCTCCTTTATAAATCAGTAGAGAGAGAATAACCTTTATTTTATCAAACAGTGATAAAGGCTTATCATGAAAAACAATCCCTCAAACCTGAACTTACGCCCAAGAGCACTTTCAACTAAGCTGTTATTCTTGTATTTATTTCCATAGTTTGGGATAATATTCTTGATTTTTCAATTCTGGAAAATAACCACTGGCTTTCTACTACAATACATGAGGGCTCTGCTCTCCAAACCACCCCACTTTCCCTACTTCAATCCTTCCTATATAATTAAATGGCAATTTCCTAGTAGGTCGATAGTGTTTATTAGGACTTTGTAAATACCCGTCATACAATGCAAGGAATATACTAAGGATTATGTTTCCTTTCTTGATACAGTCTCTCTTTCTCTTGGGATTAACAATCATCTCATTCCCCCTCCTCCCAGCTTAGTTTTCCATGAATCCACCTTAAATTTTTCCACATGCTCTATCACATCTAACAGAAGTCTATCAGTATTTTTCAAATGCACAAAGTTGTCAGCTAATCTTCCATTTTCTCCCAGAACTTCCTCCAAGGACTCTCCATCCTCTTGCTCAGTCTGGCCTGACTGTCCCTGCCATGCTGTTACCCTTGCACGTCCCTTTCTGATCCCCTGTGTTAGAGCTTTCATTAACTGGACTCCACACCTTCCTCTTTCTTCATTTATTCCTATTTGCTGGAGATCATTTTCCAAGAGCAACCTAAGAAATGATGCCTAAGAGGTACGTTTGAGTCCCCATGTGTCTGAAATTATCTTTACCTTGACATTTGATTGATATTTTGCTGGGTAGAGTATTACAGAGCTCAAGTGGATTCTCCCTTAGAATTTTAAAGATATTGCTCCACTATTTTTTTTAAAGATTTTATTTATTTATTTGACAGACAGAGATCACAAGTAGACAGAGAGGCAGGCAGAGAGAAAGAGAGAGAGAGAGAGAGAGAGAGAGAGAGAAGCAGGCTCCCTGCTGAGCAGAGAGCCCAATGCGGGACTCGATCCCAGGACCCTGAGATCATGACCTGAGCCGAAGGCAGCGGCTTAACCCACTGAGCCACCCAGGCACCCCTGCTCCACTATTTTTAACATCCGGTTTTGCTACTGATAAGTCAGCTGTCATTTCTTCTTCCTTTGTATAGAACTTTGGTAGGGGAATGCTTATTTCTGGAAGCTCTGTGTACTACGTAATGGTCTACCTCAGTGTGGGACTTTTTTCTTTTATTTTACTGGGCACTTGATTCACCCCTTCCATATACAAAATTACATCCTTTAGGTCTGAAAAATGTTCCTATTTTGTTTCCTATCTCTCCCAACTTTCTGAAATTCTGATGAGTATTTTACATATCCTGATTTCTTCTCTAATCATTTTACCTTTTTTTCTCTGGTTTTCCACATTTCTGAAAGATAACAACTTCACATTCTAAACTCTTTTATTATGTTATTTTATTTTTAAAGATTTATTTATTTTGGAGAGAGGGAGGGAGGGAGTGTACCCAAGAGCAGGGAGGGGCAGAGGGAGGAGAGACAGAATCTTGAGCTGAGTCCCCACTAGGGCTCTTTCAGAGACTTTAGTTATCCTCCTGCACCCCTCTTCCCGTTTCTCTTCAGGATTTATCTGAGAGATAGAGCACAAGTGAGTGAGCATGAGAGCAGGGGGAGGGGCAGAAGTAAAGAAACTTCAAGCAGACTCCCTCACTGAGTGCAGAGCCTAGTGCAGGGCTCAATCCCATTACCCATGAGATCATGACCTGAGCTGAAACCCAGAGCTGGATGCTTAACCAAGTCAACCAGAGTTGGACACTTAACCAAGTCAACTAGGCACCCCCGTTATTCCTTTTTAAAAGCATCGCATTCTCGTTTTGTGAATGTAATTTTGTCTCTAATTTGAATCAACTGAAAGTAATATTTTTGTTATTTTCTTCCAGTTCCCCATGTTATCTCCTGATTATTTCTTTTCATTGTTTGGTATCCATCTGTCTTTTATGTTGGAGACTTTCATCAAACATCTGATGAAACGTGATCACCAGTTTGTATTTAAGAGTAAAGCCCTAGAGGAGCACCTAGGTGGCTCAGTGGGTTAAAGCCTCTGCCTCCGGCTCAGGTCATGATCCCAGGGTCCTGGGATTGAGCCCCGCATCAGGCTCTCTGCTCATCAGGGAGCCTGCTTCCTCCTCTCTCTCTCCCTGCCTCTCTGTCTACTTGTGATCTGTCTGTCAAATAAATAAATAAAATCTTTAAAAATCTTTAAAATCTTTAAAAATCTTAAAAAAAAAAAAAGAATGGTGGTTTGAAGCTTGTGGGTGTGGGTCTATACACAGGGTGGTTGTTGACTAGCAGGCTTCATTTGGAGTGAATGGACAAGTCACCTATAGAGAAACTGACCCTGTGACAGTAACCAGGGTCTACTGAGTCTCTTCAGAGAAATTTCTCATTTTTTATTAAGGGTAGGGGAAAAGGCAATCACCAGGTGGCCAGCTTTCCCCATCACAAAGGGGGAGTGGGTTGGGAATTCCACAGTTTAGTGGCCTGATTTTTACTGAATTCCTCTGCTCTCTGCTCCAGGGTTTCTTCCCTCCTGGTGTTTTCACATGGAGAACTCCTCTGATTCAATATATCCTAAGATTAAATCTCCAGTCTGCCACGCAGAGAGAGCTGCTGGTAGTACTGGTGACTGGGGTAGGAAAGGGAAACTAGCAGTTTAACCAACCTGTGTAACTCCTACTCCAGCCCTGGGTATCCCCTCCATCCCCACCTTCCGTGGGGCTGCTCCTCAGCCTCCGGGTGAATGGCTCCGCCCTCATCAGTTCTCCCACTGCAGATTCTTTAGGTTTTCTCAAGGCACATAGCACTCCTCTGTCCATTTTCCATCACCCCAAATTTTCTTAGGCCTTTCGTCAACTGCTAAGTGATTTTTCAAGCCTTTACAGCATGTGTTTATGGTCCCTCCCTTCCTTTTATTTATTTATTTTTTTAATTTTTTTAAAAGATTTTATTTATTTATTTGACAGAGAGATCACAAGTAGGGAGAGAGGCAGGCAGAGAGAGAGGAGGAAGCAGGCTCCCTGCCGAGCAGAGAGCCCGATGCGGGGCTCGATCCCAGGACTCTGAGATCATGATCTGAGCCGAAGGCAGCGGCTTAACCCACTGAGCCACCCAGGCGCCCCCCTCCCTTCCTTTTAAAGTTCTGCTGCTTTCAATTAATGTATTCTTAGAAGAAAAAGAAAAAAAAAAAAACCCTCATGGTCAATCTGCTGTGTTCAACTGGAAGTCCATTAATCCTGTGTTATTAGAGCCCTGTGTCTGAGCCCCATTCACAACCAATAGCCATAAAACCCCAAAGCCAAGGATGACTCCCCTACCAGTCTCTCTGTAAGATGGCAAGCCTCAACACCTGATCACATGGACCTGTGGCCACAGCTGCTATTTCTATAATCTTTCTCAATTCCCCTGTTTTGTTTTTAAGCCTATTTTGAAATCATTTAACATTCACAAGAAGTTGTAAAAACTGCACGGAATTCTCAGGTAGGCTTCCCCTAATGGTAACTTATATAACCATAGTACAGTATCAAAACCAGGAAACTGACAATGGTACAACACTTATTAGCTAAACTACAGACTTTATTTGTATTTACCGGTTTTTATATCACTCATTTGGGGGAGGGGGGTGCATTATTCCTATGAAATTTTACCACATGTGCAGATTTGTTCAACCATCACCACAGTTATGATATAGAAATATTGCATTAGCACAATGATCTCCCTCTATAGCTACACCCTCCTCAACAGCCTTGGCAACCACTGATCTCAATCACTGTAATTCTGTCATTGTGAGAATGTTATATAAATGGAATCATACAGTATGTGACCTTTGAGACTGGCTTTTTCACTCAGCACAGTGCACATAAGAGCCATCCAAGCTGCTGGGTGTTATCAATAGTTTATTCCCTTTTTGGCTGGTAGTATTCCACAGCATGAATGTATCACAATTTATACATTTGCCCATTGAATATATGGGTTGTTTATAGTCTTTTGCAAT